GAGGAACCAGGCCATGACTCGTTTTGACATAGTTATGAACCATATTGTACATTATATATATATAATTAGTTCAAAATCATAGGTGTATACTATCTATATATATATATACATATGATTATATATGTGTGTGTGCATTTTTCTTATGCACGTATTCGACGTCTTCACACCGGGAAAAGAAAGTGATCGAATCACAGTTCCCCAGCGAGGTCATGGCCTGTCGAAAGGCTGTGGTTGAAGACCTCCGTTTCCGGTTGCGGTTGCGGAGTGGCCACACGGCCACAATGTGGCATGAAATGAAGCAAACAAAGAAACGTGACCCAAGGACCCAAGGATACTCAAGGGCCCCTTTTTTCTCAAAATCTACCATGATTCATCATGATTCTATGATCAGCTTCAACACCCCACCTCATGGTTGATATGTCGTTTACTGATCTGATCATCCGCCAATGGCTTCGTTCCAAAGGGATAAACGCGGCGTCAGCATCTGTCCCAGGCACCTTTCCCTTGCCATGCACTTGCACGTCGTAAACCTCGCACCGGTTGGTGCCATTATTGTGACACACCGCGCCGTTGCACCAAACGCAGGGCTCCCCAGCCACCTGACAGAGTTCAACCTGTGCCCCATGACCCACTGGCCACCCATAAAGAAATGGACTATGTCCATGTCGGAGACTACGAAAAAATCAAGAATCAAGCATAAGACAGCGCATCATCCTATGAAATATATCACCAGATGCTATGGGTACAGCTCAAAACACCTTCCAAGACTGTATCTGGCGTTGTTTTCTCTGGTCCAAACACCTTCTCAGATGGTACTTGGATCACCAGGGTAGCTCTCAGTTTGCACCATGATCCCCTGTGGCACACCCCGCGCAACAGCTCCATCGCTGTGCCTTGAGACCTTTGTGATAGGGATCCTCGCTACGGCCATCCACACTGGCCAAACAGCCTGCCGCCCACGAAGTCGGAGAAAAGCCACTGAGGTTTGATGATGTTTGATGGAGAACATCATGACCAGTGATCAAGCAAAGGAATCACAGGTGGACGGTGAAGGGTCTATACTACTACACCCATATACGTGAAACAATCCTACTTAGTTGGGTGCACATCCAACCCCTTTTTCTACTGCTGTGCCATCGGTTTACCCGGATAAGGCTCCGCATTTTCCACGCTTCATGGCCAAGTTGCTGTACTCGTCCTTCAGGGAAGGGCACCCTTGGGATGCTTTCTCCAGACAGTCACCCTTCCAATCCGCACGCTTCACAGAGGAGGAGCGCCCTGCAACCTACAAGGGGGGTCCAGGTGCAAGTGTCCGATGCCAAGACCGGACTTGGGATTTGATTGACTTCCTCGTCTTGCAACAGTTTGGAGGACTCCAAATTATACTCTAAACATTTCTAGACCGCGATCTCGGTTACTTCATCAGGTGGTTGTTTGGAGATGGGGGTTAATATCTACTGTGAACCCCTAGGGAACCACAAATGGATTAATGGTTTTGGCATTGAAGTATCATCAACCAAAGGATGTCCATCCCCCAGCATGAGTTTCTCGATTATCTCATATATCTGCCAGTTTGGATCGCGAAACATTTTTAAATCAGGCTATATTCTGGTCCAATTCTGCTACAAAATGCTAAAATCTCCCATTTTAGGCGATTTTTTTGTGGTTCAACTCCAGCGACAGAATCAGAAAAAGTCCTGCAATCCCCAAGGCGGCACCTCGTACACGTGCTTCGCGTGAAAGAGGTCAAAGGCAATCCCTTCTCCGTGCCTCAGCATTCTTCGACCGGTGGAGCTGGGCCATCTCCAATGAGCATCTTAAATATTCTATAATAGTATTCAGTCTTGTTCTTATTCAATGACATTCATTTGGGATCCAAAATATCTCACAAGTCTCCTAAGAATGGCCATCCTGCAACTCCTTCAACTCAAACTACACTTTTCCCATACTTTTCCCATAACTTTTCCCATGTTTGGAATCAACCAGCCAAGGATCATCACATAGTCAAAGGGTCCACACTTCGCATCATCCTCGGAGGTGCATGCGATGCCGCCGCACCACACGCACGCTTCACCAGAAACCTGGCACTCAAACTGGGCTGCAATCAGGTAATCCAAGTTGGCAATTGAAAATCTCCCGTCCCATGTATAGATCATGTTCCCACATGTCCAAATGAATACGCACGTGTATATATATATATATATGTGTGTGTGTGTGTATGTCTACACGACATATATGATATATGTGACATGTGTGTGTGTGCGCAAATACTTATCTACTAATTTAATTGGGTGACTGACTCCGTCTAGTCCCCTTAATTGATCCTTGTTATGAGCCTATTCCCACTATGAGAATGTCACCGTGACATCAAATGTTTCATCCCGGCCACCTCGGCCCCGGGCCGCGGCCTTGAAGTGTTTCTTGGTGGCCACACTGGCGTCCTTGCTGCTGAGGCAATCCTCCTTGCTGGTCAAACTGCTGCAGCCTCCATCTGCTGGCGTCAACAGCTCCAGCTCCTTTGGGCTGGGCGCCGTTGCCTGTGCGTTCGGACATATTTTCCAGTGGGCTGTTGTTTTTTGGGTGCCATAGTTCAGTAGAAGATAATACCATAGATTATCATTATTTGGGAACAGCCCCAGTAGTGAATACACTTAAAGACTTGGATTTTTGAAGAAATCCCTGTTTGATGTTAGTGTGTTCAGCGCTGATCACACTGCATTCATTCTGTTCTCGAACGCAAGTCGCCCCATTTCCTTTCCAACCGTTTTTTGGGCAGTCGGAGAACATCCTGAAAAATCCCAACAAGAACCATGTCAATCTCCGCTGAAACAGCCACAAGATCAAAAACAACCAATTCAATCCCCGCCTGCCAGGATTCATGTTTCACCTTCACCACTGCGGGCTTTCCAGCCTCACACTGAGCAACTTCGGTATCACCAACTCCAGCGCCGCTCCTGGGACGTGTCATCTGGGGCCCACAATGGTAACAGCTGTAACAAACCAGCAGAGGGTGTTCAAACATCCAAATCAATTCAGAATTCGCAAGTGGCTCTTGACTCCAAAACTCAGCTTCCAGTCACTTCCGGCTCCTGACGACTGCCATAGAACCACCTGCCTTCCACAATCCAAAGGATTCGCAGACGGCTTGGCTCTGATCGTTGCAAGCTGCACCACCGCACCAGACACATGGCCCTGCGGAGTCTTTGTTCATCAGACAACCGACCCGTGCGTCCGCGGAGGAACAGGCGGAGGTCATCGACAAGCAGGTGGTGTCCTCCGTGGGATTTTCCAACGCACCATGTTGGATCATGTGGGGTTGTCAGAAAATGGTGGGGAAAAATAGAGGTTCCATTTTTTCACGCAAGTTTTATGCGTTGATTTGTTTTCTATGCCTGCTTTTGTTCACTCTCTTCCTGCTGCATTACAGGACTGGTTGTTTCTTGTTTCATTTGGTTCTGTAACGTACCTATAGAATAGTATAGAGGGGTAGGGTTAGGGTCCATATCCTTTGTTCTAAATTGCTTTCGAACGGATTTTGCAAAAGCCACCAATATTGGCAGATAAACACGCAAATGCATAAACAAATAAATAAATAATCAAATAAATAAATAAATAAATAAATAAACAAATAACTACATACATACATGCATGCATGCATGCATGCATACATTACATTACATTACATTACATTGCATTGCATTGCATTGCATTGCATTGCATTACATTACATTACATAACATAACATTACATTACATTACATACATACATACATTACATACATATATATATACATATATGTGCATAGAAACCCGAAAAAAAAAAGAAAGTTTTTTTAAGAAGTAAACAAACAAATGAATAAATAAACAAATGAATATGAATATGAATATGAACATGAACATGAACATGAATATGAATATGAATATGAATATGAATGTGTGCATATACTTCAACAATACCTAGTGATTTATGATATACCCAAAGTAACCTCTATGCTAAAGCAGATTCCCTTTCTGATATCACCATAGACCATTTCCAATGCAGATGTTTACTGTATATAGTTTACTGATTGGATTGGGTGGTCTTTGCAAGAAAAATTAAAGTATAAACTGTTCATCATCATGGGCGCAATTGCACTTGCAAAGATTGTATCAAGGGTTAAAAGTTAAAACCTTACCAGACTATTTGGGTTTAATTTTCCCAGTAGTTGGAAATTAGTCAGAGGAGCCACCAAAAAGATTCAAACACACCTTAAAAGGTGCACATGAAATTAGCGTTTTTGGTCGATCATAAACCAACATGGCAAGCCATCCATCCCACTGCCGCGCGTGGATGGGTGATCTGCTTCACATCTTGTCATTGGATTCACCCTGTTTCTCTGGCAAGCCAACCGTGCAGCTACAAACAGAGAGCTGTCAAATACCAGGAATACAAGCAAAGAACATGTATGGACATTACATATCATCATGCTTTCAAAATTGCATGTGTATGTTATTTAGGAATACCCTTGCAGTAAGATGAGTTGTAAAGTTGGTCATCGATGTTCATGCTAGTGGAATGGTTTTCAGCCAATGTGGAATGAACATTAGAATGCAATTTTAAAAGCTAGCAGGTAAATGCATGAGTAAATGTGTTGATCAAACAATATGTTCAGCCTAAAAAGAGGTAGCGTGTAGTTGCCGTAATACCGTCACAACAGAAAACACGTCCAAGGACCAAGGATACGCTGCGATATTAGAACAAAGTGACTAGGGTTGTCCTACCCAATCTCTGAAATTTTCATCCCGAGGCATATTGGCAAATACTGTAATCAATAGAAGTAATCACTGCACCTTGTCATGCATTGCCATCTTTTGTTTAAAGCTTTTGAAACCTGTAGCACTATGCTGACTCTGGAAAGATTCCTAATGACATTGATTTTGAAGCTCCGGAAAGCTCCAAATGAAGTTGTTAAAGCTCCGGAAGAATCGAAACGAAGTTCTTGAGGAGTTTGAAGCTCTGGAGCCAGGGGTCGACCCTTGAAGGCTGTGGTTTTGAATTTCGTATTCTGTTTTGCTTGGAGGCTATGTCTTGGAATTTAGTACTATACCTTTTAAAAAATTAAATTTACTGTGTTTTTTTTGGGGGGAGGCCATGTAGTAAATTTAGACTGATTTGTTTGAGGGCTATGTAGTTGAATTCGGTGATTTTTGGGGGGAGAAGGGGGGGAGGGGCTATGCATTTGAATCATGTAGTATGCCATCCTTTTATTGTTTTGGTCATCTATATGTTTGAATTAGTTGTCCCATCCCTCGAACTGTTTTTGCAACATTTATTCCAAAGGATCTGATTTTACAAGACATTTTCAAAGGAAAATGGCTTTTGTAGTACATCCGTTGGAAACATGTTTGCCAGTTCAATTTAGAACGGAAATGTGCTCTTTGCAATGCATGTTCAAATATGCGCGTTTTAAAGAAAAGGTGGAATTACTCTTGCCATTTCAGATCTGGAATAAGAAACATGAATTCATCAAGCAAGTATTCTGACTTAGTTTATTGCAACGTGTTTGAGTTTTGCGCATTCATTTTTCCATGATATGCAGGAACATTATGAAGATCCATGAGCACGCATTCAAGCATCATATCTTAAAATGTATAAGTGTATATATAATGCAAAATTACGATGTGTCCAGAAACGTGGTACAATGGGGCCTTTATTTGACACCTTTCTGCAGAAAATATGGCACTGTACCCTGAATCCAAAGGCTCGTCATCATGATATGAACATTGCCATGGATGTACCCCATGATCAGCACCCAGAATTTTGGTGGCTTTCTTTTCACTCCTTGGGCATCAAAGCATCTGAGATCTTGGTGGCATCAGAGCTTTTGGCATAGCACTCAGCCCCCTGTTGCGACATGCTGTGCACCACAGGCACATTCCATAACTCACAAAGGTGGGAGCTGGAAACCCACTGCACGGCTTGGCACTTTCCAGTGCAAATCCTCTTGCATTCGTTCAGGTCGTGGGCAGACCATTTCTGGACCTGACAAGAAGGACAAACAAAGTCATTGGGAGAGACACAGCCCCAAAAAAAACAATAGAAATACTAAGGGTAGTGTGATAATGACAATGACAATGACGCATGATGAATGACAATCATCATTGCAAGAATGAAAAAGTGGAGTAGAAAAAAATAGCTTTGCCTGGCCTGCCCTGGGGTGCCGCTTCTAATCCCTTTGCAGGCCCTATCTTTGCCACCGTGTAATGGAAGTAACTCGTCTGCGGTGGCCAGCCCAAAGTACAGCAAAAGAACCTGCTGAGAAGCGTCCCTTCATCCAATATTGGGACACAGGGGGGTGCAAATGGAGATTGAATCAAGAAAAATTACGATATCAAGAAAACGAGACATAAAAATAAACCACCAAATAGACAAGGAGATCTAAGATGTGGCATTTGAAACGCTGATTTAGGGTTTCTGTTTGGGGTCTGCATTGACTTCAGCGAGGTAGGGCTTGCGCAGGTATTCTCAGAGTATCACTTCCCCAGTGGTGAAAGTAATCTGAGTGATTTCGAGCTTCACAGACCAGCAATCTTCGACAACAAACAGTTCAGCCGGAGACACAACCCATGGAACACAATGGAAGGTCAAGTAAGTCAACTGAACAAGTTCAGTAAAAAGGTAGGAAAACGTCGAAAAAGTACACACACAGAATCAACCGCAGCCGTGTGGACATCAACCAGCCTTCAAAAAGGGCGTCATCGGACGCCTTTCCCACATACAAACGGATCAACTGGGCGGAATGATGTGAAACATTTGATCTGAGCCGATATCCCATTTTTTCAAATGTCCCGCACGAAAAGGTAACCAACAATCGTCCAGCAACAGGCAACCAGTGACGACTGGCGACCACTGGTTGCCAGGATCAACGAAGAAAAACACTGATATACCTCCGCCCCACTGCCACCGGCTCTTTGTCACACAACCGGCCAACTCTGAATTGGCAAAGCGCAGGGCTGGGCTAAGGTTTTCACTGGGCCCTCCAAAATGCCTGAGTTTGGATCCCGCTCGATTGTGAGGCTTGCATGGTATCTGACCCCAAAAAATGGAGGTGGTATCCCCATGCTTGGGTAAGGTAAATTAACGGTTTGATTTGACATTCTTGATTGTTCTCAATTCTTGCTATCCCTGCATATCATATCTTGTATGTAGGTCTGTCTTAAAATATGGTGCGCCCAAATTTGATGCTGTTCATCATCTTCTCCATCCCAATTTACGTTTTATGGCTACCGCAAATGTTCAAGCACACCCAAAAATGATCTTCCTATTATACCTCTACATACATAGCCCCAACATTACACCTCATAAATTCAACCTGGACCATCCTGGAACCCAAAAAAAAACATCCAGTGGGAAATCATCTTCCAAACAACATGTGTGTGGTTCCATGTTGAATTCACCGGGTTTGTCAGTGTTTCTACCAGCTGATCATCTTTAACCTGGGCTCCATGGCCCAACTCCTGCTGGCCCCAAAGTTTAACCAGCGCCTTTGGCGCTTCACTCGGCTGGGGAAGTCGCTAACTGGGCAGGCGCCACTGTGAAAAGGAACCCCGGCAATTGGATCATTTTGTTGAATGATGGCTGCGTATTTTCGGGGAGTTCTGACCCCAAGCACAGTGTGCGCGCACTAGAGCAGCGGAGACAGTTGGACATGAGACGTGGGGTCCACCATAACGGACCTACAGAGTATTTGACGGAAAGAGGCCACAGCTGTGCATCTGCAATCCCTGGGGGCCGACATGTGAATTTTCGATGGTTCCAAGCTGGTAGCAGCATCAAGATTGGGGACGACATTGGGATCTGGCTACTGATGGGGCCATCTACATAGGCTATATAGGCTATATAGGCTATATGGTCTATATATGGGGGGAGAGTGAATATCCATTTGGTCCCTTTACCAGCTCCTTGGGCGTTCACCCAGTGACCCATAGCCATATCTTCATAGCTGTCCTGGAATCGCCACCACTGCCAGCCCCCAGGCGCAGTTCACCTCAAATGGAAGCCCTGTACAGTTGCACTGGCCGTGCTTGGCTTTAGGGCGAACTACTCACGAAACCTCTCGAAACCTGCCAGGCTGCAACATGTGCAGTTGCAAGCAAGTGTGAGACGAATCACTGAACCTCACACCATGACCTATTCATCAAAGTGACATGACGGAGATCCCCTAGTCTTGGTCAGCATGTTCCGGTGACCCAGCCATCACTGAAGCAACAGGAAGGAAGTCGCCGGCCTATTTGGGTAGGATACGGCCTGAGCTGAGTGTTTGCCCTGGGCACCCTACGGAGATGATTGTGGCACTGGACTTATTCACTTTCACTTGAGGTTCCCGCACAGGGGATGATAGGATTGGATTAGCTTTCTGCAGTCATATCCACAAGTGGATAGATCCATACTCAGACTCGTGTCGAAACGGAGATGCTTCATAGGAGGTCATAGGAACGGGCTTCATCGGAACTCCATGAATTCACACCATGCCCGGCCGGGACTTCGGACTTCTCTCGGCTTGGATCATCTGAAAAACCGCGGTAGCCTTAGATCAAGGCCAATGTGGTCCAACATCGGGGAGACGAAACCAAGATTAAGGTCCTAAGGTGCTTCAGAACAACATGCAGCATGCGAATCGTGTGCACCTGCTACCACCCCACAACCACCCGAGTTTTAGAAGACCCTACTCCCACTTGAGATTCAGATTATGACGTATCCTGAGGCTCCGCGCGACCTCACAGCTCTCCGGGTTCTTGTCTGGATGCCAAACGCGGAGTAACTCCTGGAGAACAGTTGGGCAAGGCTGAAAATGGCTTGGCAGAGGAAACGGGGCCATGGATGGTCCATCAACTTCGCAACTGCAGGCACCAGCAGGGGTAATTACCTGGGTTGCAGCCCCCAATATCAGTGCGTATATTATACATGTATGTAAGTTAGCTTAGGCCATGCCCATGCCCTCAAGATTGATATTTCAAGCCCCGAAATTTCAAAACCCGATTTTTTTGTTAAACTAATTTGCATGGCCATAAAACATAACACACAACACACACACACAATTTTTACACATAAAATGATTTTGCAGAATTATATTTCAGTAAAACACGTTTACACAAAACACATTTGTGTAAAACGCATTTTACACAAAACAATTCTACACATATTATACTCAACATTTCTTTAGATACATTTTATACACAAAACACATCTTACTATAACACACATTTATCTCTAGGATGCCCATCCGCCCATTATTGATACAACCTGCCAACCCGCCCCAACAAACAGAGAAATTGAAACAACCAATAACCCATAAATCAACAAAAATAAAATTCAAACAAACCCCAAACCATGAATCAACAAAAATAAAATTCAAACAAACCCCAAACCATGAATCAACAAAAATAAAATTCAAACAAACCCCAAACCATGAATCAACAAAAATAAAATTCAAACAAACCCCAAACCATGAATCAACAAAAATAAAATTCAAACAAACCCCAAACCATGAATCAACAAAAATAAAATTCAAACAAACCCCAAACCATGAATCAACAAAAATAAAATTCAAACAAACTCCAAACCATGAATCAACAAAAATAAAATTCAAACAAACCCCAAACCATGAATCAACAAAAATAAAATTCAAACAAACCCCAAACCATGAATCAACAAAAATAAAATTCAAACAAACCCCAAACCATGAATCAACAAAAATAAAATTCAAACAAACCCCAAACCATGAATCAACAAAAATAAAATTCAAACAAACCCAAACCATGAATCAACAAAAATAAAATTCAAACCCCCAAACATGAATCAACCAAACATGAATCAACAAAAATAAAATTCAAACAAACCCCAAACCATAAATCAACAAAAATAAAATTCAAACAAACCCCAAACCATGAATCAACAAAAATAAAATTCAAACAAACCCCAAACCATGAATCAACAAAAATAAAATTCAAACAAACCCCAAACCATGAATCAACAAAAATAAAATTCAAACAAACCCCAAACCATAAATCAACAAAAATAAAATTCAAACAAACCCCAAACCATGAATCAACAAAAATAAAATTCAAACAAACCCCAAACCATGAATCAACAAAAATAAAATTCAAACAAACCCCAAACCATAAATCAACAAAAATAAAATTCAAACAAACCCCAAACCATAAATCAACAAAAATAAAATTCAAACAAACCCCAAACCATGAATCAACAAAAATAAAATTCAAACAAACCCCAAACCATAAATCAACAAAAATAAAATTCAAACAAACCCCAAACCATGAATCAACAAAAATAAAATTCAAACAAACCCCAAACCATGAATCAACAAAAATAAAATTCAAACAAACCCCAAACCATAAATCAACAAAAATAAAATTCAAACAAACCCCAAACCATGAATCAACAAAAATAAAATTCAAACAAACCCCAAACCATGAATCAACAAAAATAAAATTCAAACAAACCCCAAACCATGAATCAACAAAAATAAAATTCAAACAAACCCCAAACCATAAATCAACAAAAATAAAATTCAAACAAACCCCAAACCATAAATCAACAAAAATAAAATTCAAACAAACCCCAAACCATAAATCAACAAAAATAAAATTCAAACAAACCCCAAACCATGAATCAACAAAAATAAAATTCAAACAAACCCCAAACCATGAATCAACAAAAATAAAATTCAAACAAACCCCAAACCATGAATCAACAAAAATAAAATTCAAACAAACCCCAAACCATGAATCAACAAAAATAAAATTCAAACAAACCCCAAACCATGAATCAACAAAAATAAAATTCAAACAAACCCCAAACCATGAATCAACAAAAATAAAATTCAAACAAACCCCAAACCATAAATCAACAAAAATAAAATTCAAACAAACCCCAAACCATGAATCAACAAAA